GAATTGCAGTGGTGAACGCAAGGGGCTGGCAGCTCATGCCTGCCATCCAAGCAATAACTCAGGAGGCTGAAACAGGAGGATTGCGGTTCAGAGCCAGCCCAGCCCGGAGAAAGAATCTGTGAGATTCTTACAGCCAACCAAGCAGCAAAAGAGCTGGCCACAGGGCTGTGGCTCAAGAGGTAGAGCGCCCAGACCCTAAGATCAAACCTCAGGGCCAAACACACACACACACACACACACACACAAACTAATAAAACCTGACTTGTTCATTATCTACTCCTGTCTGGGAGACTTTACTGATTTGATTGCCAAATCTTGCAGGTATGCTTCTCGGTTCAATAATTCATCCACACGAGTGCCATTCCGCCCATTTCACTCCGGGGAGAAAGAATAATTGGATTTCACTTTACAAAACACCATCTATTTCATTCCCTCGAAGAAAACCTGCATGCACAAACACGCGCAGCGAAGTTGATTTTCTCCCCTTTGGGCCAAAAACTTTGGTCAACAACTGATCCAAGTGGATTTCTTTTTGTCCACACTGACAACAAATACCCCACTCTATGGAGACACTTTTTCACGGTAGGACCTATTTGGGGGGGACCAGTATTATCAGATTCACAGAGGGGAGAAAAATACAAAGGTTGAGTCACTAGTCCTGGCTGACTCTGGAACTTCTAATTGGCGCTAATTGGATCTGAGCTAGTGGGGTTTTTGGTTTTGGGGTTGCTTTTTTGTTTTGGTTTGGGGGGGTTGAGACAAAGCAGGGGGAAGAAGACAATGAAAAGACCCCATAGAAGAAGCTCAGTGAAGGCTGGCGCTCTACTGCTTGAGCCACAACTCCCTGTCTGGACTTTTGGTGACTTGTGAGGGCTAAGTGTATCATGGACTTTTCTGCCTCGGCTGACCTCCAACCTCAGACCTCCAACCTCCAGATCTCAGCTTCCTGAGTAGCTAGGATGACAGGTGTGAGCTTGGAGTTTGGCTTGGATTTATTTATTTCATTACTATTATTATTATTATTATTATTATTGTTATTATAGCCAATTCTGGGACTTGAACTCAGGGCCTGGTTCTGTTCCTGAGCCTCTTTTGTGCTCAAGGCTGGTGCTTGACCACTTTGAGCCACAATACCACTTCTAGCTTTTTGGTGAGACTTTCCTGCGCCAGGCTGGGTTTTGAACTGCAATCCTCCAGATCTCAGCCTCCGCAGTAGCTGGGATGATAGACGTGAGCCACTGGCGCCCTGCTCTGTCTGCATTTTTAGCTAAGCTGATTTAATTCATATTCTGTCACGTGAGGGAAAATCTTCAACGCACTGAGAATAGAGGATTTCCCAAGAGTGGGAAATCCAATATTAGAATGTATTCTCCCTGTGCAAATAAATCCACTTATAATGAAAGACTCACTGGTGGCTTGGGACAAGTGATGGAAAGACCGAGAAGGAAAATGACACCCACTAGCTCTTGGTGACCCTGGAGTCCTTTATACCAAGATTCACGGTTGCTAACGACATTCAGACTCCTGTGAAAATAGTTGTTAGAAATGGCACGGCATCCTGGGGTCGGTGATGCCGGCCATCCCAGCTACTCCAGAGGAGGCTGAGATCCGGAGGATCGTCGTTGGAGGCCAGCGCTGGGGCAGGAAAGTCCCGAGAGACTCTGATCTCCAGTGAACCACCAAAAGTCAGAAGTGGTGCTGTGGCTTAAGTGGTAGAGCAGCAGCCTAGAGCAAAAAGAGGTTCAGGGACAGCGCCCAGGCCCCGAGTTCAAGTCCCAAAATGGACACACACGCAGAGAGAAAGAGAGACTTGGACTCCATCCAGTCCCTTCCTGGGGGAACACAGTGTTCATTCTTCCCCAGGTCCTCCCTGGGGCAGGGAAGCAGAAGGAGGTACGGGGCGCCTGGCATGGGCACACACAGGCGCTTTGTGTGTGCAAAAGCTGTGGGCTCCACGGCTGGTACAGAGTCCCCGTGTCCAGCCCTGAAAGCCCGGGTGGAGATGCTGGCTGTACCCTAGGTATCCAGAAAGCCAGCATGGGGAGTATAAGACGGGAATGTCACCTACAGTCAGGAAAAACGGAGCCAGAGCCGGGCACCAGCGGCTCACGCCGGCCATCCCAGCTTCCTCGGGAGGCTGAGATCCGGAGGATCGCGGTTCGAGGCCAGACCAAGGCAGGAAAGTCCATGAAACTCTCTATCTCCAGTGAATCAGCCCAAAAGCCAGAAGTGGCACTGTGGCTCCAGTGGTAGAGCACCAGCCTGGAGCACAAAGAGGCTCAGGGACAGTGTCCAGGCCCTGAGTTCAAATCCCAGGACTGGCCAAAGCAAAAAGAAAATGGTTTGAGAGGCATTTGCATAACAAGAGTCAGTTTTCATCTTTAATACAGCCAAACTTTTATTGTCCTTGAAAAATCACTGGCCTATTATCTGTCTTTATTTTTTTTTTCCTTTCTGCTTTGTTTTGTTTTTACCAGTCCTGGGGCTTGAACTCAGGGCCTGGGTGTTGCTCCCTGAGTTTCATTCGTTCAAGGCTGGGCACTCTTCCACTGGAGCCACACCTCCACTTCTGGTTTTCCGGTGGATTCATCGAAATGGGGATTCTCACCACCTTTCTTGCCCCGGGCTGGCCTCCAACCACGATCCTCCGGATCCCAGCCTCCTTCCTGAGTGTCCAGGGTAAGGCATGGAGAGAGATCCCGGCCCAATCTGGTTTTGGTGGTAGCTAGACTCGACAAGGCTTCGTGTGAAATCAAGTGTGTAGAGATGTTACGCTTGGCTCTGTGGGGGGGGGAGGTATGCAAGGCCGTGACTCAGTTTCCCTTTTGTTCCCACATTCTTTGGCCTTTGTGTCCTGTCTTTGTCTCCCAGGGTTTGTTTGGCTTTTTGTATTGTGCGGGCCTGTGTGTTGCTCCTTTGTTTCCCCTGGCTGGCTTTGGCCTTTGTGTTTCGCTTATTGATTTCATTCTCTTTCTTTGTGCTCTCTGTCCGCCTTTGTTGACCCGCTGTGGGGTTGTTGTGTCTTTTTCTCTTTGTCTTCTCTGTGTCGGCTTTTGTTGGGAGATGCATCTCCATGGAAGGGCAGGGGGGAGTGGAGCGCACCCCGGGACAAGGCACCCCCTTTGTGTGGAGAGACACTCAGATATAAAAATGTGTCCCTTATACATGTATTTATATTTCTTCTGCAGGGCATCGGGGTCCGGCTTTGACACGCAGACAACCCACAGAGACACAGACCCACGCAGCTATTGGGAGGTAAGAAAATTCCCTCCCCTGAATTTCATTATTATTATTAATAATAATTATTATTATTGTTGTTATTATTATTTTGTCTTTCATCTTCCAGCAGCCAGGGCTCCACGCTGGCAGAAATTGGCTAGCTGGAAGCGTGTGGCCCCCAAATTAAACATGTTTTTTTTTTTTTCTAATTCCTATCTGCAAAGAAACACGTTCCCTGCTTTGGAACTCATGGGGAGATTTTACTTTTTAGGGGTGCAATGGCAGGTGCTTGGCTTGAGTACGAGGAAGAAAATGGGAGGAAGGATTGTGTTTGGGTTGAAATTTTTCGTGCCCATCCCTGGGGCTTGAACTTGGGGCCTGTGTGCAGACCGTGAGCTTCTGTGCTCAGCGCTGGTGCTCTACCATTTGAGCCACGGCGCCACTTCTGATTTATTTTTGGTTCGTCTTGCTGGTTCTTTGGAGAGGAATCTCACAGGACTTTTCCTGCTCCTGAGGCTGGCTTTGAACCACAGTCCTCTAGATCTCCTGGGTAGCTGGGGCGACAGATGTGAGCCATCGGGACCGCCTGGCCTCTGTCCCTGACCTTCTTTGACTCAAAGCTGGCGCTCTACCATTTGAACATGGCTCCACTTCTGTTTTTATTTTTATTTTTTTCCGGGTGGTTCCTTGGAGATAAGCATCTCACAGATTTTCCTGCCCGGGGCTGGCCTCCAATGGCGATCCTCCGGATCTCAGCCTCCTGAGTAGCTGGGTTGACTGGCGTGAGCCTGGCCATGGAGGCGATTAACCAGAACCTGTTCTGCTGCTTTGATTTCAGGAAGGCAAGAGGCCAATGCTCTCCCAGGAAACTCCTGGCCAAGAGCTGATCTCCCTATGCCGACGGAGGGAAAATCAGGTACACCTGACTCTCTCCTGCCAGCTCTCGCCTGTGTTTGAACTGAGGGAGGCCGTAGTTATGGTCAAATAGTCAGTCAGCCAACGTTTAAAACATGTGTGTGTGTGTGTGTGTGTGCTTGAACTCAGAGCTTGGGCACTGTTCCCTCGCACTCAATGCTGGCTCTCTACCACTTGAGCCACAGCGCCACTTCTGACTTTTTGCTGCTTCATTGGAGATTGAGAGTCTCCCAGACTTTCCTGCCCCTGAACTGCGATCCTCCAGATCTCAGCCTCCTGAGTGGCTGGGATGATGGGTGGGAGCCACTGGTGTTTAGTTTGGGAGTACGTTTTGTTGGGCTGTCCTCTCGGGAGATGGAAGACAACTTGGTCTTCCTGGTGCTGATTTTCAGGCAGTAAATAAAATAGCGAGCTGGCAGCCGGGGACTTAGGCCTGTCATCCCAGCTACTCAGGAGACTGAGATCTGGAGGATCGCGGTTCGAGGCCAGCCCAAGGCAGGAAAGCCCATGAAATGCTCTTATCTCCAATGAACCAGCCCAAAAGTCCAGAAGGGGCGCTGTAGCTCAAGTGGTAGAGCACCAGCACAGAACACAGAGAGGCTCAGGGAGAGCGCCCAGGCCCTGAGTTCAAGCCCCACGACCGACCTAAGCAAATCATGCATATATACGTACCTAAAAGGCTTGATTTCGTTTGTTTCTGTCACACAGGACAGGGCTAAGGTGGGATTTCCAGAACGTTGCTTGTAGATGCCATCCTGAATTATTAATTTGGGTTTGTGGGAGAGGGCTGGACTCAGTTTCCCCCCCCCTTCCCTGTCTCTGTCTCTCTCTGACTCTGTCTCTGTCTCTCTCCCCTCCCCAGTGAGATGAGCCAGAAGATGGCGAAGGAAGGGCCCCGCCTCTCCAAGAACCAGAAGTTCTCGGAGCACTTCAGCATCCATTGCTGCCCACCCTTCACCTTCCTCAACTCCAAGCGGGAGATCGTGGACCGCAAGTACAGCTTGTGCAGGAGCGGCTGCTTCTACCAGAAGAAGGAGGAGGATTGGATCTGCTGCGCCTGCCAGAAGACCAGGTGAGCCCAGGCACCGGCCCCCAGCCCCTTCCCACCCCCCCGTCCCTCCGCCCTGTCTAGCACCCTTGTTAGCCTGCTCCGCAAGGCTGCAGCGGGGCCCATGTGCAGACCCGCCTCCTTGGATGGGTTCTTCACTGGGGTGAGGCGCTGGGAAGGTGGCTCAGCGGTAGAGCGCTCGCCTCGCATGCATGAAGCCCTGGATTCGATTCCTCAGCACCACAGACACAGAAAAAGCCGGAAGTGGCCCTGTGGCTTAAGGGCAAGGCTTAGCCTTGAGCAAAAGGAGCTCGGGGACAGCGTCCAGGTTCTGAGTTCAAGTCCCAGGATGGGCAAAGGAAATAAATTCAAAAAAAAAAAAAAGAAAGAAGAAAAAGAACGGAATCCCTGGCTGCAGCCCCCAGTCCCTTCCTTCCTCCCTTCCTTTCTTGCCTATTTTACGTCCGTGCTGGGGCTTGAACTCAGGGCCTGCGTGCTGTCCCTGAGCTCTCTCGCTGTCCGGTTCCGAGCCCCAGCTCTATGTCTGGGTGTTGGGCCATGGTTTGTTGGACATCAAGCCTCTTGGAGCCTTTCCCTCCCTGCGCGCGCGGCGCTGGCCTCCACCTGCGATCCTCCAGACCTCAGCCTCCTTGAAGTAGCTAGGCCCATGGACGGCCGTGGTGTCTTTTGGCTCCCCAGCACCCGACGCCGTGCCAGGTCCCCCCAGAGACCCCAGCCCCGGCCAGCCTCGCCCCCCGCCGTGGCCAGAGCACCCAGCAAGCCGCGGTCCCCTCCGAGGACGGAGCGTCAGCCACGGCCTCGGCCAGAGGTTCGAGCACCACCTCCACCAGCAGCCAAGCAGCGGCCCAGGCAGAAAGCCCAGCAGCCTGCAGCGAGGAGGAGCCCCCTGCGGGGCTCGGGCCCGGGCCGGGGGGCCTCGCCCGCCAAGGCCTCTAGGTTCTGATCTCGCCCCGCATGCGTCCGTCCCCAGCACACACGCACCCCCGGGGCCTCAGGTCAGTGGCCGCGCGTTGGGTGGACCAGGGGGGGACCAGGCCCCGCCCTCTCCCGTGTGTGTGTGACCCCAACCCCCATTAAATCCCCTCTGTGGCTGCAAAACCCTCGGCGTGGCTCCTGTGTTCACCCCCGTTGCCCCTGGTCCACCCTGGGCTGGCTGACCCGCGAAAGCCCCAATAAACCAGCGACCCAGCGACCCCTACGCCACACAGACAGAGGGATGTGGGGACTGGGGGATGAGGAGGGGCGCCATTGAAACTCTCAGCCCTAACCCACTATCCCAGCTACATGCCCTGTGAATCTCAGTGGGAAGATCATTCACCATCCACCCATCCATCCACCCACCAACTCACCATCCATCCATCCACCCATCCACCCACCCATCCCTACACCTACCCACCCATGCATCCATCCATCCATCCATCATGTATGCTTGCATGCATCCATGCATCCCTCCATTCATCCCTTCCTCCACCCACCCACCCATCCACCCACCTATGCATCCATCCACCCACCGACCCATCATCCATTCATTTATCCA